GTGTGTGTGTGTGTGCCTCTGTCTCTCTGTGTCTCAATCTGTTTGTTAGTGTGAGTGCTTGCCAACATCTTTGCAAGATGCACTCATGTTCTCAGAACATGCTCTCAAATGTTGATACGTGGAACCACCTTAATCACATGCTAGTATGCATCCACCCTAGCTTTGACTACCAGGATCCGATTCCTGGCTAGCTATTATAGATTTCAGATTTCGATCATTATTCTATCATTCTGCAAAACGAACGCAGTGGTGCAACAGAATGGGAACTTTGAGTAGAGGCAGATCATGGCACAAGTTTAATTTGACATGATCTGCTCATGATAATGATCTATAGAGCTCTCCTCGTATGACTGTGTTCCTTCTTCTTCACAAAGGGCAATTCATCCATGGTACATACGAGATTCTCCTGAATGCTAAATTAACAACACGCTTTCAGGCCTCAATGTCGTGTAGGATTGTGAGACGGTGTCTCTGACTCAAGAGCGTCTTTGCCGTGGAAAGTTCCATGATGTATCTCAGAAATGCACCATTTGAATCAGCTGGCATCATCCAGTCCGATGGGAAGGAAAGGTAAGCCCGCTGAGGAAGAAAGAAAGAAAGAAAAGGAAGAAGGCAAGAGAGAAAGAGAGAGCAAGCCCATCTTTATCTATGTTACAGACTTGGTCGCTTCGACATCTGGCTGGCTTGACAGGGCCCGCACCTTTCCCAGTTGGCACCACATTCCAGACCTGAACACGGACCCAGGTGTGCAGATGCAGAATTCATCTACCAATTTAAATTATACAAACTGTAAAGTTGTGTAAACCAATTTTCTTTTCTTTTAGGAAACCTCTATGGGCTATTGGAGGTTGAAATACTAAGATAGGCAGTCTGAGGAGGTAGGATGCTCACACACCTTTTTTCTCATGTTCTCTTTCATTTTGTCAGCTTTGTCTACCCCCTTTCTGCCCCTTACCCCCTTTCTTCCTTCCCTCCGTCCCTCCTTGCCTCCCCCCTCCCTCCCTTCCCCCCCCCCCTACTTGGGCTTCAAACGCAAACAATAATTCTGAAGACGAGGCCAGGCGCTTGCTGCATATGCTGTGACGACTTTTACTATTCCACCAGGAAGTCTGGGATACCCATCATCCGGGACATCTGTTTGACAGGTGTGTAGAGCAGGTCTGGTAGGACCAGTGAAGATGGGCCCATCCTTTTTTCCCGCTTCTGAAGGTTGTAGTGCCTATATTGTTGTATTCATCTTATGGGAAACGATCTAGTTTGACTATGCTCTCACGTTCTCCTGGCATGTCTTTCTATTGGGACTGCACATCTTGTCCTCCACGAGAGTAAAGCCTCAAAGTTTGTGCTAAATCATATGATTGAGCATTTCTTTTTTCTTCGTTTTTTTTAATTCCTGGCCTGTCATATTGCCAGTGGGTGCAAGAAAAGATGAAGGGACGAGTTTCTGCGAAAGACGTCTTTTCCATTTCTCTCTCTTTCTCCTAGCGCAGCATCCGAGTCCTGGCTCAGCGCTCTGCCCCCCACAATAGCGCACAAGTGCACAAGCACTTCCACACTTCATGCGAATGAGCAATCTTTCCGAATGAGAGGCTGGCCAGTCCTTATATTGCCTTCGAACTTCATTTTGGCTGTCCCAGCCTCTGCTGCAAATGGTTCACCTCGGCCTGGTACCACATGCCCACGGCCTGTCTGCTTCCGAATGTCAGGGCCTGGTACTTTCCCGAATTTTCCAATGGTGTGCTGCTGCCTAGGCTTGAGAGTCACGACTTTTCACTCGTGGACATGACCTCTGACTGTGGACTGTGACTCCTAGCCTTGGACACGACTCCTGCCTCGGAAAGTGCCCTTTTGCCTATGGAATATGACTTTTCAATATGGATGTGACTTTTGCTTACGGGATTGAACTTTACTTTGGGATGTGACTGCTGATTGGGCGCCTGTTCGGACTGGACTCATAAGTCACCCGACTGTGACCTTTCTGAATTGACCGACTTAGCCTCCCTGGGCCTGAGACCTTGACCCTGTATTTCGAGTTTGGGGTCTGAATCGTGGAAGGCCTTTCATGCCCCTCCGAAGTCCATTTATTTGCGGCATGCCCCCGCGACGGCCGACTGACCATGTTGTGCCCCTCGGGGCGTCTGAAGTTTCCCGGAGGCCCCGGTCAGCACGGGGCACAAATTTTCGGGACGCCCTTACCGGACCCCCTGTTCCATTTCCCTGGTGGCCGTCTACTACGCCCTCCTGCCGGGGATGCATCTTTGTGAGACGCCCTTTAGCAGGGAGGCACGACCAGTTCGAATTCGAACTTGCCGTGTTTTCCGTGCATGGCGACAAAAAGTGCTGCAATCCACGTCGCTCACTGCCACACAGGCCCACACTCCACCGTGCTGGAGATCGTTTTTCCCATCGCGCCCCCTTCCACCTCCTGCAATTGCTTCACAAAGGTTAGTGTCCCTCCCCATCTTGCACACAGCATGCCCCTCTGCCTGTCGTCCTCCTGGCGTGTGTGCTTAACCTCTCTCTCTCTCTCTCTCTCTCTCTCTCTCTCTCTCTCTCTCTCTCTCTCTCTCTCTCTCTCTCTCCTGTCTCTTATACACATCTAGATGTGTATAAGAGACAGACCCCCCCCCACCCCAATACACAGAAGATTAGCATGGCCCCTGTGCAAGGATGACATGCATAAATTGAGAATACTGAGGTTTCCATGTGAACAGTGCTTGGACATGGGTCAGTCGACCCTAAGAGATGTGGAAACCTTGTATCAAGGGCGCACTGCGCGCCGCACATCGAAAGGGGGTCGGGTTAATGTTCCCGAACCGGGTTGTGGAGGTGGATGGTAACGTATGCATCTCCGGAGATGCTGGTGGGGGCCATGCGCAGGGTTCTTAAAAAAGGGGAAAAAAAAACAACCTTACAGTTCCGGCTCCTTCTCCATTAGGGGGAGCATCAGTCTGGTTCCTATTGCACCAGCAAGTCAGGAAATTACAACATGAACTCCCGCCAAACACTTCTCCCAACTCAATGGGGACCATTTAATTTCCCCTTCTTTTCGCAAACGCTAAGTTGTTCGCAGAAGCCAGTACAGAATCGTTGAAACATGAACCTGATTGACGGGAGACAGAACATTGGAATCCCGATCTTGGTGTTTGAATTCTTCCATGACCAATTTATTCTGCAAGTGTTTCAGTTTCATCTCTCTACCTCCAAGTGTAGTACTATGTGTCTCTCCCTTTTTAACAGTGTTTTTTTATGCAGTACAATTTTACTAGAATACTGATTCAGTCTATCTCTGTGCACAGCATACCAGCTTTATCAACCATGGACCTGGTCCTGGACCTGGTTGCCGTGGGACCCGATTGCTTCTTCTGCGTAGCTCACATGGGATTCTGATGCACACTATCGGCATCATCCAGGTGCCTTGCTACTAGAAGAGGTGGTTATGTCTCTGGTCCTGGACCTGATTGCAGCGTCATTGACACATCCTCTTGATGTCATGGTGGCCGCATTTTTACTACTCTCTCCTTCCTTTTTTTCCTTCCTCCTTTTCCGTTTCGAAAACCGCAGCCTTATCGCTGAGACTCCATTCTATCCTCGACAGTGACATTCTGGTTCCTTTTTTTTTTACTTTTTCAAAGTTTTTTTTACGTGTGTTTTTACTTTTTTGACTTTCTTTTTACCTTTTTTTTTTCCCTTCTTTTACTTTGTATAAAGTTTTTCAGACTTTTCTGACTGTTTTTTTTTTTTTTTTACTTTCTGTTGAATTTTTTTTTTTACTTCTTTGTGGTTGTGACATTCCGGTTGGTATTCCACAGGGAAGTCAGGATACCCACTCGAATGCTTCCCCTCGTTACCGGCAATCAAACCCCAATAGCATTAATTCAATTTAAGTGTTTCCAACTGGAGGGATTAACTGATGGGTATGCTACTATGCTTGCTATGCTACTATGCCTACTACGCCCATACTGAAGTCCCTTCCTCCCCTTTCTCATGATTCTCTCCACTCCAATACAAGTGTTTAAAAATCAGTAACTACCGTGTTTTCCCCAACCTGTAGTATTGGGCTGACAGATCAGCCATGGATCCTAAACCATCTCCTCCTGTCCTTGAATCTGAGGCGGGTCATCTGTCGCCGCACCATCTATTACTTCTATCTGTTCTTTGCCGCCAAAAGCAGGCACCTAGACACCCTACTTGGACAAGTCTACACTGCACACTGCTTCATACTCTGCGTTTCCTTTCCTATTTCCCCTTGCAGCCTCCAGCTTTTTTGTTTCATTCATCTGATTGCAGCTGGATTTGAGCTTGCGTCTGTATGGGGCGAGACTAGGATAAGGTGTGGGACCGGGGTGGGAAATCTGGATCGCGATGGGATTAGAAGAGGACGCGATTGAGGATGGAGGTGGGAGGGAAGTAGGGTCGGGATGTGAGGAGGGACGGGACGCGATTGGGGGAGGGGTGGGATCGGGGGAATCAGAGTCGGGGTAGGAAACAATGTCGGGATAAGAAAAGGGATCGGGATAGTGAGAGATCAGGAGAAAATGAGGATCGGGATGCGGGTGGGGGACAAGATGGAGAGTACGTGAGTAAGCCTGGGGACGGTATCACAAGGGGGCGAGGAAGGCTCGGGGCTATGAGTTAGACCAGAAAGGGGAGCGAGGTCAGGGGGAGAATGGGAACGGAGTAGGGAACGAGGACGGGGAGAAGATCGAACGGGATGGTAGGCAAGGCCGGAGTGGGAGTCGGGATCAAAATGGGGATCGCGATCGGGGAAAGAGACGGTGTCGAAGTGGGTGTGGGATCGGGGTGGGAAAGCTGGANCTCTCTCTCTCTCTCTCTCTCTCTCTCTCTCTCTCTCTCTCTCTCTCTCTCTCTCTCTCTGTGTGTGTGTGTGTGTGTGTGTGTGAGACGAAGAACTTGAGGCTTCTTGAGAACCTGCTACAGTGGGACAACAGTGCGCGGCCAAAAATCTTGTGCCAGATCCGGTTTTGAATAGAGAACGGACTTACGGAATATTTTTGTCCGTCCTACTGCAAGGTTAATTATTGCGGTGGTAGCTTTTTTCTGTAGGCAGTTGTTCCCATGGAAATAGAAATTTTTTTTGTTGACCTCGCAAATCATTACTAGTGTGTAAACTGGCTGGAAATAGCCAATGCGATTTTGAATAGAGACGGAATTTATGAAATATTGCAAGTTTGAAATTGTGTGAATAGTAAGGGCTGGCGGACGACCGGCATAGAAATTATCCTATAGGCTACCAAATTTTGTCTTCTGGAATACGTGTCATTAGAGTAGTTGGCATGCCACGGTAGCCCAGTCACAGTACTACCGGTCTGTACCCGCCCTGAGCCAGAATGAGGGGGAAAGACATGTTGTGCATCGGAATTTCTCGAATTTGAAAGTGTACAAGTCATGAGCGACACGTGTGTAACTGACTGGATGACTGAGCCACGTGGTAAGAAGTGAAGGCTACGATCCACGCTGTACGATCTGGTCCAATGAGAAATTAGAGTCAGGAAGTAGGAGTTTGACAGTGGGTAGTGAACGCTGAAAGGACTATCTGCGGAGAAAGCCCCTAGTCCATGCATAGTACTTTGAAGTTTGAGCACGGGAACATGCAGTGAAAGCTGGTCCGAAGGAACAGATTGCTGTGTTGGCTATTGGAAGCTTACGTGTTTTGCCTATCTGGAGCCCGTTGAGGGGCCGACACGTAACGGATCTTACAGAGTCTGCCACAGCGTCTGAGCAACAGAACCAGCCGTAGCCGTAGTCGCTCGTGGAAGTGCCCGTTAGGGATGTGGGTACCGTGCTGGCTAGGCTTTACAACTTGGTGTACAGTATATAGGAGGGCAAGGCTACATCGGCCCTCTCTCTCTCTCCTAGCGCAGCAACCTTTTTTCTCATTTTCTCTTTCATTTTGTCAGCTTTGTCTACCTCTTTTCTGCCCCTTACCCCCTTTCTTCCTTCCCCCGTCCCTCCTT